GAAAAGTGGCGAAAAACCCGAAAAGAGGACTAGTTTTCTGGTTTTGGGAAACTACCAATCATGAACCTTCACCTGAATCTGAATTCGCTCTGCGTCCGACAAGTGCAGACCAGCCACCCCAGCCACATCTGGCGTCAGACTCCAAGCGTCGCAGAGCACATCAATTGCCGTGGCAAAGTAGACATCACAAACTGTGTTAAGACCCAGCACCATGTAGGCCTCACCAGGGAACAAAGGCTCTGTTGAGCTAGTGTTCCACCAAGTGCACCATCGTACCAGCAGGTCTTACAAACACGGCTTGGAAACGAGCAAGGAAAAGAATCCAAAAACTTGACAGCCAGGTTGCGATGCCAATGCAGTGCAGAAGCGCCACAAACTTCTTACCTGCATCAAGGACGCCATTCAGCAAACAACAACATCTTTGCAATCTTCAGCTTTACAACTCAAGCAAAATACACCAAGCCAGTCAGTCCAGCCTATCGGTTCATCCCCATACGGCTCGTTCAGAAAGAGATCTGGAGGATATAAACTCGCTGGCACCTCATCCAAACACTGTGGAACCCCGGCGTCAGAATCCAACATTTTGGACAGCTCAACACCAAGTCCAGACACTGTAGTGCTGGTTGTCGTCTCATCTGCATAAAACAGCCTGCGATCGCCTTATGACTGCTTTGCGGGCATGGTGCAGCGGGCTCAACGGCAGCACAGTGGAGTGCAAAGTCTGGTTTCTTCATTTCACCCCAAGTCAAAGCCATGTCACTTGCAGAGTTGGTTCTAAAATCCTGCAATCAGCCAGAGTCAACACCACATGTCCTTTGACAGTCTTCTCATCCGGCCTGAAACATGAAGAGCACGGTGAAACAGACTGCAAAGCCTCAGCAACAGTGCAACTTCCAGCATTCATGTCATTATGATGCATATAAGTCCCGCTCCGAATGAGCAAAGTATGGAAATCCTCCTGCGCTCGAAGGGTCCTAGACTTCGCCGTAGAACCTTAGTGTAGCAGACTCTGACACAGCCGCCATCAATGATTTGAAGGAAGAGCAACGGCTTCGCAGGGAGACTTGACCACAGCTGCGACAAACTTGCGTTGCAACCCTTCCCCACAAAGGCTTCAAAACATCAGCCGCGACAGGCTCCAGGACTAACTGTACCAACTTCTTTGGGTTCTTATCCCCCAGGACCAGGCTATTCTCAGAGTATCAACATCATGTCTTGGCCATCACATCTAGACTCTAGACTCAACATCGCTTGGACCCGAGCTTTCCTGCTCAGTCGTATCCCCATGGCTGGTGATGGAGAATGACTCCGGCCGTTTTGGCAGCGCAGGAGAGCTTCTCTGCAGGAGTCCCTGCAGCAGCTCCTCACCATCTTCACGCGAAAACAGATCTGCAGATTTACGCACGTGCACACGCCCAGGTCCTTTAGGCCCTTTATCCTAAAATAGCTTCCATTTTCTTCTCCATGATCCCTCTTTAACCCCTATATTACCCCCATATAGCCCCTATATTACCCTTTTCAACCCTGACTTAAATGCTAAACCCCTTTTAAACTAGGACTCTCTGAACCCCTAAACCCTAAACCCTAACCCCTAAACTCAGTGCTGTAGGATGCCGGGGCAAGCCCGTGCGCCTTTCGCGTTCCAAGCTCCACGGATCTCCACGGCTTCCGCTGCTGCCAGCAGCTCTTTTCCCGGCGCCTGAACTCACAAATTCTGCTGTGAGCACACATAACATACTATAAAATATGGTAAGATGCGATAATATAATGTATCAATTACTATATTATACCATGACAAGCTATGACCAATTATGATATACCATAATACACTATAAGATTCTGTGATCTACTAAAAGATACTATGATATACAATTATTTCTCATACTATGCGCCTAAGCCCTAATTGCAAGGCTGACTATGAAATGCCACACAAGGCTGAGGCTCCTGAGGACTCGTGGGCACGGACCACTTGGAGGACTGCGGACTCTGAGCCGCAACAAGCTGCAGGGTTTAGGGTTGAGGATTCAAGGTAAGGTTATGTTAGGGTTACACTGGGGTTACATTAAGGTTATGTTAGGGTTATACTGGGGTTATATTAAGGTGCCCAGAAAACTATTCTCGAAATTCAGAATTCCACGCAAGCCCTGGCACACAGCAGAGGTCGTCAACCAAGCGGGCAATTTCAAGCAAGCAAGCAAGCGAGCAATGCAAATCCTGAGATGCAACTCTACAAGTACCAAGACAGCTCGCACAAGTCGCCTTCTTTAATGAGGCTTGGGCACAAGCATCCTTCAACATCTTCCTGGACGACACACCGCCCTGTACACTGGCCGCGTGCGGCTGCAGCCTCTCAAGCTCCAAGATAATCGTGAGCATCAGCCTCCACAGGAAGAGCTACCCTGCTAGGGGCTAGATGACGGCAAGACTAGAAGCTAAACAGCATGAAAGCCACAAATCCCAAAGCGCCTCTTAAAGGACTTTGAAGTGGCGAAAGAACATGTGAAGCACGTATGAGACGAACAGCGCAGCCTCAGAGCCCAATAAAGGCTGGCGCAGCGTGTGTGTTGCTTGCCACGCTACCGAGTTCTGACAAGGTCAAGTCATCTGCCGCAGGCGACAGCTGCACACATCGTAGCAGATTCGTGTACATGTCAAAGCAAGAAGCCAACTTTGCCAAGGCGCAATGGCATACCCAAACGTGAGTTTGAAGATGTTGTTGCCAGCTAGACCTCGTGACAGGAAGCCATGCTCATACGCATCATCTACACAAGAATACTCTGATCATGCACGCAGTCAAGCGCGGCACTTTTGTAATGCTCCTGCACTGCAATGGGATCGACAACCCACCTGCAGTCGCCCGTGCGAAGCAGCTTGAAAAACCAAAGCTCAACATGGGAGATAGAACACTTCAAAATCTCACCCATGGCTAGCAAATGTGGTGCTCGAGCCACTCGAAGAACAATGGATTCCTGGCCGGTATCCCAGTGGTGGCCGTCCACTCCTGTTGCCGTACCACGGGCGGAGCAAAATTGAAAAACTGCCACATGCAAGGTTCAACCGCGGAGGGAAAAAGAGGAGCTCATAGGAAATCTCAGTCTCCTGAACTGCGAGCTGGTACATGGCCTCACAGGCTGGCAGGCGCTTGAAAGCAAGAACGGTAGTTCTAGAAATCCATCACATTCATCTGGCTTAAACCTTCGTTGGTGCCAATAAGGGCCCTATTCTCATGCAAGGTCCTCTGGCCTTGTGGTTGTCCTCTACAACACGCAGCCCGGAGCGTGCAAACGGGGATGCAGCATCGTGGCACTGAAACCTCACATGAGCTGTCAATTATTGGGCACATTGGCTGTTGAGAATGAGGGGGCCTGTCAAAACACAAGCATTGAACTAAAACCCAAACCTCCTTTCATCAACTGCTGCTGCTGCTGCTGCTGCTGCTGCTGCTGCTGCTGCTCTGGCGCTTGTGCGCTTTCGGCTTTCTTCTTCTTCTTCTGTGTCTGCCTTCGCTTCTGCTTCTTCGTCTTCTGCTGCTTCTCTTTGCACAGCTCGTGTACTTCTTTTCGCTAGCCATACTTCTGTTGGTAGTCGAAGATCACTCAGAAAAAAACCAAGTAGAACCCAGCGAACGCAATGAAACAAACCACCTCAGACAGGGAGCGGAGTCCCCATGGTGCCACAACAGTCCGTGCCAACGGCCCAGAAGTCAAGGGTTCCTCAATATCCAGAGCCACTGCCAATGACCACAGGAATTTTCACAGCATCTTGAAAACTAACAGCAACCAACACTGCGTTGATACAAAATGGCTATGCATCATCTGAAGAACAGCAAAGATATCGGATGTTCCCAAGCCCAAGCGAAAATGTCTTGTCCGGTATATGAGAGCTGCAGGTCTGCTTGTCAAGCCAAAAAAATCCATCCAAAAATGACACAAACCTGGTGACTGGGTCGTGTGTTGCTGTCAAGTTCGGCCAGGGTGCCGCTTTTCGGGACCACAAAACCTGGTCGCAGCGGCAAGCGGTGTTGCGAGAAGCGCACTTGGGGCAGATGGAATGATGATGAAACGATACTACTTAGAGCCATTGTCCCGAGCAGAAGATGAACTGTGCGCTACGAAACAAGCTACCACATTCATTTGACTGTCACCGTTGCCACCATGCCTGAAATATTTGGCTTCAACTTCAAAGGGCCTGCAGCTGTCTTTTTCGCGTTGTCGCCTCCTCCTTCCAGAGGTTCTGAAAAGATCGGGGCTACGCCTTACAAGCAAGTGGAAAGGTAGAACATGGAAGGAACATCTGCACGCCCAAAACATGCAAAGAGGACAGACAAATCTTCTTGCCAAGTTGCAATATGTCAAGCCGTTCCTAAAGGCAATGGCTTTGGTGATGTCTACGCCGGAGCCCTCCTGGCCAGAACAGCTCATTGATCTCGGCGAGATCTTGCAGTTTCCCAAAATAGGGGACCCCACTATAGACCCAAAACTAGTATAATCCTTTTTATAGGGACCACTAATTAAAAAGGGTGCCCTAGTTTTGGGAAACCCCTCCACTCCAGCCTTGAAGTACACAGAACCAGAATCCATAAAGGAGGTGCCCTTGTCTGTGGATGGGTCAACATTGACCTCGGTTCCACTTCCCATTGACAAGCTGGAGATGGCTGGCACCGTTCTGACCGAGTCTGTGGCGTAACTGGCCATCTGTAGGTACTCGTTGTACTTGGCTACTCCCATCCACCAGTAGTTGTTCCCAAGGACCTGTCTCAAATCTCAACACACATGAACTTGGCTTGGGTTGCTGGGCACTTCAGACGACAGCTGCATTCTGATGCTGCACGGCATTTGCACAAATCCAGTTTCATTCTGAACAACTAACTCCTGCCCCTGAGCTTTTCGGACAGGACACGGATCCAGCAATAAGACCAACCTTGGACTTGCAAAAGCGGCAGGGTTCAACCGCTTGGGAATTATTTTTTGCTCTTTTTGTGGCCAGGTCGCCCATAGGGACAGCGAGACCACCAGCCAGGCCCTCGCCGGTCTCCTGCTTCTATATCTCGCCTGAATCTGAAGAAAGACAATCTGAAAGGGTTTGTCAAGATCATGAAGCACTTTGTAGGGAGCTATTTTGGAGGTGTGGGGAAGGGGACCTGAAAATTCATACTCCTACATAGCTAGTGGCCCTCGAAGCGTTTTTGAACTACTCACTTGCCTTCCTATGCGTATGGGTCCAGATGCACCTTCACAGCCTCTTCTCAAACAAGCCTCGCTGGCTTTGAAAGCCTGATTCACGCATGCTGTTGAAGGCCCCTACCTAGCCTCTAAACCCTTAAACCCCTAAACCCTAAACCCGTAAACCCCTAAACCCCTGAACCTGAAACCCTAAACCCTAAACCCCTAAACCTGAAACCCTAAACCTGAAACCCTAAACCTTTTTGCCTAAACCCCCAAGCCCTGAACCTGAAACCCTTAACCCTAAACCTGAAACCCTAAACCCTCAACCTGAAATCCTAAACACTAAACCACACCAACCCCAAAAGCAGACGACCGCTGAAGCAAAGCGGCAATCCCAATGTAGTTGGCAAACAGGCCCAGGATGGCCTGCCACGGCCAATTTTATATCTATCTATACATATATAGGGGTTTAGGGTTTAGTGCTAAGTCTAGTGGATTTCTAGGGATAATGGAAAAGAAAATGGCAGCCTATTTAGACATGCGCATCGCACAGAGTGCAGGCACGGCAACGAATGTCCAAGTCAGTAGTATTTTTCCGCTTGCATGGCTCGGACGGCATAGCAAGGTTCATTCCGGTTCCATCCGTAGCCTATTTAGGGTTTAGGGTTTAGGGTTCTGTACATGACATATAACTGTGTACAAATATTATACATACAGATGTACCGACACGTATATATATATATGTGTGTGTGTCTATGTGTATATATATATATGTATATCTATCTATCTAT